AATGTCCATGTTTTCCACTAACTTTAGAGGATTTCCCGTCAAGAACCTCGCAAGGTTCAATGTAGTAGATAAAATAACATTTTTTTGCTGTCAACACTTGAAAATCAAGCCCTTAAATATTTTCGGTTTATCAGTGTGATTTACCAGAACATTTACAGAACATTTACAGAAGGGAAAAGAGAAATTGTAGTAGCAGTGATAGCACCAGTATTTAGCAGCACCAATAGTATTTTGCTCAGTAGTCATATTTAATCGTATATATTTTAAGATTGTAGGGAACTTGTTTAGATAAATAAAAAAAAAGATGGCTCACTAATAATTTATCGAGGCATGTGACAACATAATCTCCTTTATTGTACATATTTTTCGTTGTCTTTATTGTACATATTTTTCCATTATTATTCTTATTTAGCTAATAAATACAATACCCTTTTCATATTCACTCTTAATTTTCACGTTATTAATTTTCAATAAAGAGAATTAATATTGGAAAAAAAAATTCTTAATTATTGTGCAACTTTACAAAATGAGACATTATGAACATAGACGTGACCAATTGCCAGGCCGGGTCGCGGCCCGGGCCAGCCCGCCGGGCCGGCGGGCCTCAATTTCATGGTCGTGACCAGCCTGAACCGCCGGTTCACCGTCCCGGCGGGTTTTCGGCGGGTTCCATGCCGCTACGACCCTTAAAAAGAAACATTGCGGCCCGTCTTCCAACCCGCAACCCGGCCCAGACCAACGGGACAAAAAAAAAATGCAAACCGGGACAGAACTGCGACCCTACGAGTCCGGTTCAAGGCCGATCCGGGAACCATTTTGGGCCGGGTCAGCCCTTGGCCATGTCTATATGAACATGAGGAGGAATTATTACTTTTCATTTATTAAACACTGGTTGGGTGTGTTAGGTTGTTATGTTAATAATAATCGCCAATACTTTCCCAGTTTTCCTAGCTAGAGGTGAACAGAAAAAAAAAAGCTTGTATTATTACCGAACATATTTGTGGATACGTGGCCCGTGGGCTCCATTATCACTAAAACTTCAAAGCCTTTGTCCCCTCCAAACACCCCCAGTCTTCTACTTTATTCGTTTTTTTTCTCCGCATCATACCCGTTATTCAATGTTGAAAAAAAAAGATCTCACAATGTGAAAACAAGACTTAAAAAAAACATATATTTTACGCAAATTATGCTCCTTTTATTGTTGAAAAAACAAAATATTCCCTTAATGTCACTTTCAGTATTGACTTTCCCCCGGCATAATTTTCTTGACCCCTTTTATCTTCACAAAGTTGATACTTATGCCGGCCTGATTGGTAATATTAGTTGAACTACTCACTTACTTAAAGAATTTCAAATTTTATAGCTTTGTCTTTTTTGAACCCATTTCATTTCAAGATTCTTTATTCTTGCTACACTCTCTATTTCAACAAGAAACAGTGAGTTAGTTTCATTTACAATTAGAGGTATGAGCAGAAGGCAAACAAGTGGCAGAGGCGAGCATGTAGTGAAGAGTGATGTTGTAGTTGCTGTGAAAGTTTGTAAGGATATTCCGAGGGCAGCTTTAACGTGGGCTCTGACCAATGTCGTCCGGCCCGGAGGTTGCATTCGCCTGCTCGTTCTCATTCCCCCTCATCACTCAAGTAATTTTTTTCTCCTGCTTTTTGTTTTACGCAAGGGGAGAAGCTACAGTCCCGTTACGAAATTTGTAACCGTTACATCATGTAACCGTCGGAGATAGTTGATCTAACGGTTACAAGCTCCGACGGAATGGTTCCGTAACGGGACCGTAACATTTCCGATACTCAAGTTTAAAGTTCATTTATGTGGAGTGACTGAACTTTAATAACTGATGAACACATGTCAAATCAATCAAGTTTCCTTCACTTAGTTTTATTATATAATGATAGTCTTACTCTTATGTACGAGTATGCTAGCTTCTCAAAATTCAGAAATTTATCTAAACAGCTCTCATCTGTTTTTATCTGTGTGATTAAAGGCTTATGGCACTTAGCGCACTTTCACTTTCACTTTCACAACGAGTGCACGGCGGGCCAGTGGAGATTAATGTCTGGAACAATTAGTGAACAGAACGAATACATTACCGAGCAATGTAACCAAATGTTATCCCAACTTCACGATATTTACGATCCAGAAAAGGTGCTAATTAATTTTGGCAATTTAATATCGTTTTGTCTAATTAATTATATCCAGCATTCGATGAAGCGGTTTACGAACCATTTCATTTCCGATAGGTAATGGTTAAGGTGAAAGTGGTATTCGACTCCACGCAGGAGGCAGTGGCTTCCGAAGCGAAGAGAGCTCAGGCACATTGGGTCGTATTAGACAAGTATGTATAATATTTGCGTATACCAATGTTGTATAACTTTCAGATTTTTTTCTATTTTACAATTTAGTGTTAATATCACTAAATGGCCATGTAGCTTTTAAGAAGATAGAAAAATAGCTACTTTTTGTGGAAGTATGAAATAATAGTCATTTTGTCAGTTCACACAGCACAAAATGACTATTATTCATACTTCTGCAAAAAAAGTGGCAATATTTCATCTTTGCATTCGCTACTTGACTATAAAACCAAGAGACTGTATAATTTATCATCTTATTATTCGGTTACTCGAACGGCAGGCACATGACAAAGGAAGCCCATGTTTGCACGCAGCAGCTCAACTGCAACATTGTGGTCGTCAAACACTCGGAGCCGAAAGTCCTTCAACTAAGCCTCATAGAAACCAACAAAAACCACTCTCCGAACGAGCTCGACAGCAGCAATGTCCCTAACGCGAGCCCCACGGCCAGCACAGACCGAACCACCTCTCTCTCGAGCCTCGACACCTTCAATTTACAACCATCCTACTCCTCCCGCGAATCCGAGTTCGACCAGACCGACTCTGACTATTCGGGCAGCCAAATCCCGAGCTCTCGCTCCACGAGCATATCCTATTCGAGCCCGGATTCGCGCAACAACTTGAGGCAGATAATGTCGTTGAGAATAAAGAGCGGGCCCCACGACCCTCCGCCGCTCTGCTCGATATGCCACAACAAATCGCCCGTGTTTGGAAACCCGCCGAGGATATTTTCGTACCACGAGCTCGAACGGGCCACGGCAGGGTTTTCGGA